AGAGAGAGAGAGAGAGAGAGAGAGAGAGAGAGAGAAAGAGAGAGAGAGAGAGAGAGAGAGAGAGAGAGAGAGAGAGACACCTACCTTGGATGAGGATGCTGGATATGGGTCACTGAACTCTGTGCTGATGAGCGCTAGGTGACTGGAACTCAGAAACATTTTAATATGATAATTCGTTGGAATTTCTAAGCTGCGCTTATCTGGGCTGCATCTCTGGTCTCCAGTGTGGATTTCGTGTGATCTCTCAATGAGTGTGTGCTCAAGTTGAGGGACAGTGTGGTTCAGTGCACCAGCCAGGAACTGAAGGGCGGCAGTCACAAATCGATGGCAGAGGGCGAAGCCTCTCCACCACCAGATTTCTTGAAGTGCCGGCTGAAGCTTGAAGGATACTGCGTATTCTACACATGCCAACTCACCACTGAATGAGACAACCAAATACACATACTGTGTATTCTGTTTACTACGCAAGAATTTGCCACTGGCGCTCTCCTCTTGCTTTGTGAGCTGTGTATACAGAATGCTTCACTCCTGCTGGCTAATGGTATACATCATATATTTCATTGGATTGAAAACATGTCACTAAGGTTTTTGCTCCCTCCTTAAGTTCTTAGCACTTCTTGCTGTTTTTTACTACTTTTGAGGTTTCTTCCAGTTGATTGTATACATACGACGAGCCAATGACGCTTTTACGTGCACTCCGCAACAATTGGCAGAGCATGCATGGTGTCTGCTGCCTTGTTGCACATAGTCAGACTATGTGGGATATGGTTTGCTTTGTTCTCGATTGCTTGCATGTGCGCTACCTTGTTGCTCTCAGTAAAACTATGTGGGATATGGTCTACTTTGCTCTCTATTGCTTGCTAATGTTACAGCTTCCACCCCGCAATTGCTGCATCTGGCAGGGTATTTCCATTTATTTCTCTGGCGAGTTCAATAACCCTACCAGGGAGGACCTTTGTCGACTGGTGCGCCTTGGAGGGGGTCGAATTCTTCCGTGCCCGCCATGCATGCCCACGTCATCGTCGCCCGCTCATCTTCCGGGCAAGATGAAGCACAATACGGCAGGCTGTCTCCAGGAGAGGCAAAGCAACCTCAGCGATGTCTTGGTTCCTGTAAACGTTGAAAACAAGTCTGAAATTGGTGGGGCAGTGGGACTAGCTGGGAATGCATTAGATGCTAGAAGAGGTGGAGGGAGGAGCATGTCGGAACACGGAGAGAGGCTCATCATGCCTCTGTCACCTGATGTGATAAAAAGTGCAATGGGAATGGACCAGAAAGAAAACTGTGATGTGAAGCTGCTTGGGGCTGCCGACCAGCTTACTGAAAACACTCTCCCTCTTGCCAGAGCGCGGAATGTACAGAGAGGAGTTGTTCGAAGAAGACTATCTGATGATCCCCCAGACTCTAACCTGTGGGTTGTCTGTCAGCCTCCAATTTCAGAGAAGGTGCGCGCTTCCATTTGATTTGATTTGCTAGAGTCATTTTCTGTTCCCATTGCTTTGCCTTGCTTTGATTTGACCTTGCGTCCTTTCACTTTGCTGCAGCATTGTTATGTTTTTGGATTCCCTCCTTTTCCTTCTTTTAAACCACCAGTACCTCCGCCAGTGTTGGGAAAATAGGGAAAAGTGGCAGTTTTCCCAAACTCCTAAAAATTCGGAGGCCGGGCCCGACGACGGCTGCCATTGATAAATCTGATCGGCGGCCATCGTTTCGTAGGCCCACTCGAGGCCCGGTATTTTTCCACGCGGCACCCGCATTTGTACTCGAGCAGACGCTTCGCGTCTGATCTATCGCCAGAGTGGAGCCAAAGGCGCAACGGGAAGCAGAGGCGGAGTTATCCTGGCATCCTTAGCCAGTTTCGCTTATGATGTAAACAGAAAGCAGTTTCCCTATAGAACCAGACTTGATGACTTGAAAACAGCACTCTACTAGACTAACCACAATCCACAAAACCCCCTCCTAGTACTTCTACCTTTGGAGAACCCGACTCTGGTGGCTTGGAACATTGTGCAGCCTCTAAAGCCCTAAACCCTAGTTTCAGTTTTGCTAGAAGCGCCTAGCCCCTAGTCTTCCCCCTTGCCCCTTTTGCCATTTAGAACACCAGTTCTCGCTGCTGTGTTAGGCTGAGGGGCGTGGCCATGCCTTCCATTGTCTGCGACTATTTCCATTGGATCTTATTTTCCTGTAGTTCAGCCACCTTCCCACTTCTGCTGAATGCTTCTCGTATTTGCTGGGATTTCTCTGGGGCACTATTTATGCTCTTGGCGCAGTCTTGCGTGTTGTTGCCCATTGTGCTGTGATGTCCATCCTGATCACTTGTCCCAGCTCTGTCCGTGCTTCTTTCTGTGCATCGGCTGTTCTTCCATCGTCGCCTTGCATCCGCTCTTTCATCAACATCTCGTATTGTCGCAGCTTCTGGAAACACCCTTTCTCAAAAGCTGACCATTTCTTCGTTATCTGCATTCCCAGCGGTAGGGTTACGTCCTTGTTAGGGAAGGGGTCGGCACTGATCGCCTGCCATAAGCTCGGCGCTTCCAGCCAAATTTGTTGTGCCCTTTTGCAGTCCGGCAAGCAGTGTCTCACTGTTTCCTTAAGACCTTCTGTGCAGACTTTACAGAGTTCGTTATGCTGGCTGGGGTCATCTTGGCGCCCTCTCGTGTTGAGCCAAACATTTACTGGTGGTGCCAAGTAGATGCATAGCCACTGTAGGCTTCTGACTTTGCCCAGTCGGATGGCCTCCAGCTTTGCCCAGTCGGATGGCCTCCAGCTTTGCCCAAGGGAATTCTTGTATGTGTCCGGGGGCGATATTCATCTGTTTGTAGCGCATAATGTTTGTTCTCAGTGCTACTTGCCGTGATGACCCCCGTAGACTCCATGCCCGTTCCACTGGGTCTATCTCCAGGTTGTCTATCTGGACTGCTGGACAAAAGGTAGTGAATTTGTCCGTTTCGATCACCCTGACCTTAATGGCTTTTGTCTTTAGAATTGAGACTGGCGTGCTGGAATCCTTTTTCAATAGACTCGTTGTTGCTCCAGGGTCCTTAGAATTTAGACTGACGTGCTGGAATCCTTTTTCAATAGTACATGTCCACATTCAACCGGCTCCCCTGTGGCCCAGTTTCACCCCATGTTCGAGACGCCACTGCTGGATTTTTCTCTCCTGTCCATGTTGCCCAAAGGTAGTGAATTTGTCCGTTTCGATCACCCTGACCTTAATGGCTTTTGTCTTTAGAATTGAGACTGGCGTGCTGGAATCCTTTTTCAATAGACTCATTGTTGCTCCAGGGTCTTTAGAATTGAGACTGACGTGCTGGAATCGTTTTTCAATAGTACATGTCCACGTTTAACCGGCTCCCCTGTGGCCCAGTTTCACCCCATGTTCGAGACGCCACTGCTGGATTTTTCTCTCCTGTCCATGTTGCCCGTTCTCCAGCTTTCCGGCCTGGGGGTTGGCGTAGTAGCCCTAGCTATTCATCTGGGATTGATATCAGTATGTCATTGAGATTCTCGAGAAGTTTGTGGCTGCCCTTCAATTCGCTCCTCAGTTCTCTTGCCGTCTTTCCATCTTCCTCTGGTTTCCGACCAAAGGTGTTTCACCTGCCAGACTCCATGTTCTACCCAGTTCCCCCAGTGGGTGTCTTTTGCAGAACAGCACATGTCGTATTACTTCCTCTCACGTCGTGGGTTTGTACACCTTTGCTGGGAAGATGTCTTCCCATATTTGCAGCAACTGTCTCCAATAGTCTCCCTGGTTTTCTCCTTCTTCGTCTGCTCTGGAGGTTCGGGTGTGTCCGCACGCTTTTGCCCACGATTTGCTCATCAACCAAAACCAACCTTTCATGTTATCAGGTGTTCTGTATTTTGCTGGTCCGCTGATTCTTTCCGAGGCTAATGGTACCCACGGGAGTTTGTGGTTGCAGATAAGTTTCACTATCGATTTTGTTTGGAGCGCCTTAATTTGAGTTTGCGAACTTTGCGGGTCTATCACCCCTAATCCTCCCTTGCTTTTTCCTCTGATTACGTAGCGCCAAGCCACCTTGGTTATGAAATTATGTTTTGTTGGGTCTGCTGTCCACACATAGGCTGCTGCTTTTTGCCTAATTCTGGTGGTAAGTTGAGACTCACGTGTCCATATGGTGGCCGCATACCAAAGGATCGAAAATATTGAAGCGTTTAGGATTAGAGCTCTCCCGTATAGTGACGTGTGTATTGTTGACCAAGCTCCCATTTTGTTGAGCATTTTAGCGCCAAGCCAGCTTGGATATGAAACCATGTCTTGTGGGTGTCCACACATAGGCTGCTGCTTTTTTGCCTAATCCTGGTGGTAAGTTGAGACTCACGTGTCCATATGGTGGCCGCATACCAAAGGATCGAAAATATTGAAGCGTTTAGGATTAGAGCTCTCCAGTATAGTGACGTGTTAGTGTTGACCAAGCTCCCATTTTGTTAAGCATTTTAGTCAGCAATTCTGGGACCAAGCATTGAGTGCGATGGACTCGCCTCTGTCACCTTAATGCCCAGAAAACGTAAGGGGTGCCCTCGGTGTAGCCACTGCATTCCTTGCGGTGTAGATGGTCGTGTCGGTATGTTTTCTTCTGGATTAGTTAACCACCCTCCGATTGTTTTGTTCCAATTAATCCGCATTTCTAATGCGATGTGGAATGGTTGCGTGGCTCGTGTTAGGTCTTCGAATGACGAATCCAACGCTTGGATCAGCACTGTTAAGTGATCTGCAGAGAAGATGGTTGTGGGAACGAGTACGTTAAGGTTGCCGTTGTCTGCTGGTGTTACCAGTCGTTGAATCGAGGGGTCCTTTCTCAGGAAGGAAGCGATTGCTTCCATTATAAAGAGAAAGGTTGGTGCTGCTAATGGGTCTCCCTGCCTCACCGATCGGGACATTTTGTAAGCAGGCAAGAGGTGTCTGTCGACCTGAACCTGCCCATGTGCGTCGTTGTATAATACTCTTAAGAGTCTTAACCCATTTTCTAAAGTTAGGGCCCACCCCCATTTTTTCCATGCATTGCTGTAAAAATCCCCAACTGACCTGATCAGATGCTTTCTCAAAGTCGAAGAAGAATATAGCTGCGTTCGTACGCATGTCCCTGATGCATCTCACTGATTCGGTTAGTGGCATTGCATTATCTAGGAAAAATCTTCCCGGTATGAGGCCGGTTTGGTCCAGGTGAACGCAGCTCTGTGCCACTCTTCTAAATCAATTCGCCAGCACTTTTGCGATTATTTTATGGGTCATGGTTAGTAGTTGCCGATATCCTCTGGGTCTCCCTTTTTATACAGCAAGGAAACTGTTCTGTTTGAGGATTCTGTCCCCATTCCTTCCTTTTTTTTTTTTTTTTTTTTTTTTAACAGAACCTTTTGGTTCTGGATCCTATCAGCGACAGTCCGGTTCCTTTTCCGCTGGCAAGTCAATAATAGATACATAAGAAACTCACGCACGCTCCTCCCCATAATGGCTGGGAGGCCCGAGTAGACGGCATTGATTACTTTCGTAAGGAAGGATGTACCATCCCTCACCCCTGGTTAAGTAGGCCTGAGTTTTTACTCCTCTCATCATCCCTGTGATCCCAGTTGGACTCCTCTCAGTAATGAACTGCCAGATAATTGTGTTTGAACTAGAGTCGCCCAGGACCCCTTCTGAAATGTCTGACACTCCAATCCCTGTTTGCATTGCTCCTTCCTAAACCTTAAACCCTGAACCCTAAGCCCTCAGCTGTAATGCTGTCATAATGTTGATGTACTACCTCAACGAATCTAACACACTATTCTTGCTCACATTGCTCCGTATTCTCAAACCAGTGGAAGACTACTCTGGATCCTTCGATTGTTGCTATCTTACCCTTTACCAACGTAACCCTTTGAAATGTTTTGAATGTTTCCCGGGCTTTCTCCGGGTTTTGTTGGGCTTGCCTTCTTACTCTGTGCCGTCGGGCCGTGATATCTGTCTCCAACAGGTTGTGTAGAACTTTCTTGGCCTCCAGTCTGTGCGTTTGCCCCCTTCCTATCGTCATCTGACATCTTCTTTTCCATATGGTCCATAATGTATATTGTCTCAATAGTTGAAATCATAGTTGCGGCGCACGTCGGTGCGCCGGTTTGCGCACGGTTTGTGCACGTCGCGCGGCGCACCGCACAGCGCACTTGAAAAATTAGGTTCAAAAAAAAAAAAAAAAAGTAGGGATTTTCTAATTTCTTAGGGCCCCCAACTCGGCAAAAAATGTCAAACTCACCGCGCAAGTTCACAAACCGGCCAAGCCCACAGCCCGAACTTTTCTTTTGGGTAAGGGCTGCTGAAAATTCGATTTCCGCAGACCCTTCCCCAAAAAGTTTCGAATTGCGAGCTGTCCTTCCCACTGCCTTCTGCAACTCCCACACAGTAGTGGGGTCAGTTCGCAAGAAGGGGTAGTCGATTAATAACGACCTGCCCCGCGAAGCTTCGCAGAAGTCGCAAATTGCATGTTCTGTAGCCAGCTGAGCACCAATATATGCTGAAGATTGGCATTCAGGTCCGCATGTCGGCA